ACACACTGTGTTTTAAGGTCCTAAAATATTTTTACACCACAGCTTCTATTTCTTAGGAGCAGGTACACGACTCAGTTATCAGTATTTGCATGACCCTAAGGTTACAAGATATTTTAACATTTTTCTGGCAGACTGAAGGTTCAGAGGTGACAACATGACTCTCAGCTGGTCACCCTGCCTGACCACTGCCCCTTCCAACACCTGCAGAACTGCTGCAGTCTAGTGAATCTGTCCCTGAATGTCCATCAGCAGCAGTGCTGGGGCTACTTGTGACTTTAATGAACTCATAAAATACAACACAGAAAATCCTGAAAAAGTCAGCCACTATTCCAGTTTGTAAATCAAACATTTACATGAAGTTTTTAACAATCTCAGTTATAACCTAAGAGTACATCTAATTAACGTGCTTTCTGGCTGTTAATGTCAAACACACAGATGTGGAAGTTTTCAACATGAGGACAGAGAAGTGAAGCACAGTCATACAGACACTGCAAACCCAGCTGCTGCAGAAGCTCTTTATGCCACAGCACAAGCATTTGCAGGACACTTGCCAAGTGCTGCTTGGTGGAACTGTCTGCACAAGACAGCAGGATGGACAGTGTGCCCAAAAGGGGCTGCAAACAATCCCACACGCTTACCAGGGCAATGGAGAAAGACAAAGCTTGACAGACCTTATCCACTAAGACAAAAGATTTTTTCCCCAGGACAAAAAAGGCAACAAGTATATTATTATCAAATGTATAAAGACATTCCTCATAAATTATTTTTTCCCCTCATGTTGTATAATTAAGAGGTTCTATACTGTTTTTACTAAAAAATATCTGAAGCTATAAGCTCTACCAGGAGACAAAGTATTTTCTATTTCTGAAAAAAATGATTCAGAGAATGAAGCAGTTAAGTCTGTCCAGAAAAGAAGTTCAGTGTTCACTATGCCTACATCATTTAGCATAAGATAAGCTTCTGCTGGTGGAAACTGTCTGTTACTGCCATCCAAAATACACATCAAACCAAAAATGCCCAGTAAAGGATTTCATAAAACCATTTGGTTACCTGCACGATCCCAGTAAGGTAGGTCGTAAGTGCCCTCAGTTTTTTTCTTGCTGTGAAAAAAAGAAAAATGGGGTATTTTAGCTGGTCTGCTTATCTGAGGATGCATTAATTAATGCTCAGCAGCTATCACCTTGGCTGTCACTGGTCCTAAGATTTACAGTATAAGCACCAGTAACCTGGCTTGCCATCACCAGTCTGCTGCTACTGGAGAAAGCAGTTTTCAGTAACAGCACTTCTAATGAAAATAGTTACAACAAGCCGTTTTCACTGTCCTCGCTATTCAAGTGAACATTTTCTCACAGAGAATACAATTCTGAAAAAAAATCCTTCCGCGAGCGTGGACCATGTAGTTCCCGCAGCGAGACATGCAGCATTTCACTCCCACACACCAGGCTGACATTCATTTAAAGCACTTTCAGAGATCTGTTCATTTACCGGTTTCTCCAATGCCACGCACAAACTAAGATAAGAATCAGAGTAGTGAAGACCATCACCAGCACTGGAACCAGAACTGCTGCCAATGCCACATCTGAAAGCCATTAAATTAAGTGGTGTCAGACAGAAGAGCTTCTCATAAATCAGTTTTTAAGTTGAAAATTACTTGGGTAAAGCACATAGTTTTTATGTACAGCGCCTACCGCACCAGATCCCCCAGCCACGCTACCCTGCTGGATGCTCCCACAGTGTTAATGTCAGTTAACATCCAGCTCTTCTATGTGTATTTTTGCAAGGTTTTTCATCAAAATCAACAGATTTGTTTTAACATAAGCAAGATTTTTCTGTTACAACAATGTATTTTATTAATAACAAGGAAAATCAAAAGAGCCCAGGAATATGCAGTCACTTAGGTTCCAACCTGTAAGATAGTGAATACCGCAGTGCCTTAACAGTTAATCACAACCAGCCCATGCTGGGGCTGCCTGTGACATGAGACCATCCTGTCCCCCGCCACCCACAGGACACTACACCAGCGCCTGCATCTGCAGTGATCTTGCTTTTCTCACAGTTTTCTTTGATAAACAAAATTACAAAGTTTTTCAGATGTCATGCCAACACAACTGCTCCGTAAAAGATTAGCTGTGTCAAAAAGTGTTTTGTCCTAAGAAATTAAACAAATTAATTCTGAACAAAAGTCCAGGTTGCAACTTCTCCTTCTGACAAAATTTGTTCAGTAATTAAAAGCTGAACTCGGTTTGAACAAGTTTTGAAAGATGGAACTTAGTATTGCTATGACCCGGAAAACTGGTTTTGTTTCTGCATGCAGTATGCAACTGTAGATTTTTTTATCATACATATATTCATTAACTAGTAAATATTAAAAAGAAAAGATTGATAATTTGCTGTAACATATTAAGTGTTGAGAAAAGTTAAGTTCAGAAAGCATGCTTCCTACATGCCAAAGCAGTGTAAGGAGTTCCCAAACACTTCTACTGTGTAACTGTGGATACCTTTGGTTACACTCGGAGTCACTGTGGTGTTCTTTATTTCGGGGGTGAAAGTTGTTTTATCTGTCTGCAACGAAGTCTTCACTGAATTAATGATGTCATCACTGAAGTCATCATTCTTGTCATTCTTGTTCTGTGGTGGTGGTGGCATCGTGAATTTAGGAGCACGGCCTTTGAAGAAAATAATTTATTAAAAACAAAAGGTTTTTTAAGTGCTAGTTTCCCATGTTTCCTTTTCAGAAGACGACAGCTGGAACAGTTTGCTCTAAAGCTTTTGTTCATGTTATATAATGAGGAAAAACCCCCCTCAATCAGTAACACAGAAGGCAAGTGAATGGTGTCTTCTGAATTATCTAAATTACGTGGTTTACACCTAGACTAGGTATTTTCCAGGTTAAGTGTAATAACTCTGGAAGAAATTTAGAGGTATCAGTTACAGATAAGTAGTACCTTTTTCTCATTGAAAATATACCCACAATGTAATCTGGGCCAAGTTAATTCACTGCTTGTCTTGCACAGCTGAAAGGTTTTCAGTTGCCTTACCGATACTAAACTGACATCCCAGCAATTCTACTTTCATTGCAATTTTCTGATGCCAGTTCAAGGGGTTAATCCTAAAGAAGCGTGCAATGATAGGTGGAATGAAATTATTCCGAACTTCCTGGTACAATTCAGTGTTCCCTTGAAATATCTAGAAAAGAAAAAAAAAAGAGAGACAAACATTATGTTATACAAATGCAACAGCAACTAAGTAACTGCAACCATTTTTCATGTTTTATTTCGGAAAAATAAGTGATGCAGAATCCTGAAAATCCACTCCAGAACAGTGCTGCTGCCTTGCACATCTCCACTCACTCCCCCTATTAAACATACAACTAAATAAAGTAAAGGAGGGGGTGTGTGTGTACATGTATGCATGCAATTGCTTACTTCAGAATAAAGGTACCATGTAATATTCCACTGCTGCTCCCCAGGCAACGCCTCCTGTTAAAGGCAACTCCCATATTTATGGCACCGAATAATTCTAATTTGGTCCTTTTTGGTATTTTTCACTTGCTCTTCAAACATACACAGCAAGCAGTCGGGACAGTGTGAAAGCAGGAATTAAGCAGTGCCTTCCCACAGCCTGATAGTTGAAGCACAGTCTGTCCTGTGAGTGGATACGGCAGTCAATAGAAAGCGTTAGGAGACACAGTCAGGTCTGTCGCCACACTGTCCTCCAGCGGCTGCTGTCTGCAACGGCTGAACCAGAAGCAAAGTGACAGGATTCGGGTTCAGAATGAGAGAGCTCTGGCTTCAGAGCCTCACAGGGAGCCGGGCGGTACTGGAAGAGAAGGGGGCAGACTGGACATAAAGGATGAGCTAAAGCTGGTCCTCGCACACAAAGAACTCAAAATTTGACCGAACAGGTTTGGCTGAAGTTTAAAACCAGTAAGCACAGTCACTGTATGGTGCAGCACGAGCACCCTGACAAACTTAGAGCCAGCTACAGGTTTTGCACTGAGCTGCCTAAAAGTACTGCAACCCAGCGAGCCACCCCATCACCTCTTCAGGGGGATGGGCGCAAGTCTTTTGATGAGAAAACACTTTTATATTCCATTTATTACCAAACTCCCTCCATTTGCCTCTGTGCTGTCAAACAAAACTTTTCCAACACTGCAATTTTGATTTGTTATTTTTCCCCAATTCAAGCATTTCATTCTATGTTATATATACAACAATTTTAGGGAAAAGCTTTTCTTAATTACTGACAGAATTACTCTAGAAGCTATTCGCGAGGAGGACTACAGGAAAGCCTTGGAAAAGCTTCCTGACTCCTGAACAACGTTAGGAATTTCAAACAGCTTTCACAAAACCAGGGAATAGCACCTCCTGGTTGGTCTGGTGTGCAGATGGGTAAGGCTCCGAGGGAGAAGCCTGCATGCTCGTGCATCCAAAAGCAAAGCTCTAGCAACCGAGATGATGTCAGACAGAGGAAAAATCAGCTATTTTGAAGCCCAAGAGATCAGCCACACTGAACCCTTTTTTCTGTCATTTAACTGCAGCTGGCGCTTGCTGGATACGTACGTGTGGTTCTTCATGCATGGCACCGAACGATAGGAAATGTAAAACAAGGTCTGCTGCCTGTCATTTCAACTCCACAGTTTGTTTCACTTTGTGAACTTACAAGAAAAATAATATGCTCTAATTAAAAGGTAAGAGCTGCACAGGTTTTCTAAGAAAATAATCCAACTAAACATGAAGCCTAAATCCAGGCAGCTCTCTAGCTGAGTTTATGTTTTATGGCCAGCAGAGGGCACTCAAAAACTGGCAAAAGATGCTGGATTTTTATTGTTTCCCTGTTTGAATACTTCATACTCACATACTGACTGTTACTTTACGTGTAGCTTCAAAGAGATGGACCATCCCAGACAGTAAAGTCTCCCCCTTTTAGGAAAGTTTCCTGCTGTGATTATGTTCAGTGTTCAGAAACCGCTTAATTTAATACTAAAGATACTTGAACCTTTCACTTCATCAACAGAATGCAACATCCTACCTTGAAACATTCTTAACCCACAGTAAACAGGAAAAAAAACAGCTAAAGAATGACCATTCTTAAGACCCATTTTTAAGAAGTTACTAGGTTACTAGTGACTATTCCATCTGTGTAATACCACAGGCCTATGGAAGTAAGGTAAATTACATCTAAGAATTTTAAGAAAAATAAAGTAATTCTAGTTCCAGTCGGGTTAACAAGAGTCCTTTTTTTTGTTTAAGAAAATCTGATCTGAACCACGGGGAAGACCATGTAGGACACTGATCTTCTTGGTTTTACTCTCTATTAAACACTGCAAAACTGTAAACATAGGGCAATGTGATTACCCTGCTGCTCACACTAGGTAATTTTTCTGTGTGGCAAAGCATTTGCAATCTGAACATACCATTTAATTTTTTTAAGAAAAATCCCTTCTGCAAGGACTGTTCTATTATACAAGAAAGAAAATTACCAGTATTTTGTCAAAAAGAAAGATTGAAACATTATAAAAGATGGAAAATTAGACAACCCCTAACATTTATTCTGTAACCACAAGAGGATAAGAAAGTAAACCTTAATTTTGAAACATGCATCTGAGTTATTGTGAAAGAAATCTGATTATTTTCTTAAAAGGATGCAGTACCAGACAGCTTACCACTGGCAACGGAAGCTTCTTGTATAGAATATTCCCATCCCCAAATAGTAGTAAAAATAATCACTGAATTTCTGTGTTCAAATGTTCAAATCCTTACATATTTCCCTATTTTCTTCTGCATAGATAGTTTAAGATAAAGGCAAATTATTTAATGTTTCCTCACCATACCAAAATTAGTCAGTATTTACAACTGTGAAATCTCCACAGAGCAGACCCAGGTGGCGTCTGATATTTTTACCTTGTCTTTGTCCATGCCAGGTTCTCTGTACACTGTCCATTTCTGTGCGTCAGCACTGTACAAAATTCTGTAGGCTGAGACGTAATAGTAGTACTCTGCTAAGGTTGATCCAGTAGTTATGATACCTGTGAAGACGAAGGTGCCCAGTTAAGACAAAAAGCTGGTACCAGTTTTTAAAAGTTAACAGATCAGCTTCTGAATTCCGAGTGACGTAGTTGGAATCTCCACTGGTTCAGTTACATTTCGAAGTTTATCCAACATGCCAGATAAGGCTGTAAGTCTTAAAGCCCGGGACTCTGTGAAGCACTCCACCTAAAGCCACGTTATTCTTTATTTAAGTCAGATTGCAAACGTGCCCATTAACAACAGTGAATCGCCTCTGAACAATTAAATCAAAACAGAAACCACTAAGGTCAGCACAGAAGACACAGTAGCTGCGCTGCTGTAATGGTAATTTTGCTGTAATGGTAATTACCTGTCACCTGGACTTTATCTAAAGACCAAGCCCTCAAGAAAAAAGATGTCAGTAACGACATTTTTTGAATGCTGCTCAAAAGCCACATCAGATTCACTTACCTGTTATTCTCTTTTCTTTGTTCAAGTCAATCTGCAACCACTGATGTTCATCACTGATAAAAGCAGCCCAAGGAGGACCAACTCTTTTTAGTCTGGCATTTTCAGGTTTCCAAACGTTCACTTGTCCTGTCTGGTCAGACCACTCAAGAACAGATGATGCCGTGATCTGGGAATCGGGGATTACCCCAGATTCCATCCCCAGTGTCCCATAGCAACCTGAGCAACAGAAAAGGTGAGAATTCCAAATAAAAATTCAAGTTAGATAATGATTTTACCTGCTTGGAGTTTAAGTCTTTACAATACAAGTATTAAATTGCCATCTAAATTTATTCCATAACAACACTACCAACAAAACAGAGTCTTCTGCTTTCTAAAAGTGATGCTGGAACCAAACTCATGGTCTTGAGCATTACATGATTTATGCCTGCTCAAGAGTAATGTGGATATTCTCTCAATCACCACCCACAGAAACCACTACAAGAGGAGCTTTGGGGGAGCTGTCACAGTTTAATAGTGTGTATGTTTGATGAAGGAATGGGAAACAGACTACTTGATCATTCATTCCTTTTTTGTGTCTATTTAACTTCTTGGTTTTTAAACCCACCTCAGTATCACAATTAATTCAATTCAATTGTTAATTCAAACAATACGCCAAAGAGCGTAGGAAAGCCATGTCACAATCCCGGCCCTGAGCTCAAACACATTCTTGAGATTAGTTGTATTTTTTGTCACCATTCTTGCCAGAAGTTTCTTCCCGTGTTGCATTCTGCTGATGACTAAAACACATCTCCTAAATTCCCGCCTAAATTTCCCTGTGGCTAGTTAGTATCCATTTGCTCTTTGCTAGAATCTTGTTCTGTAGCGCCAACAGTTTTCCGCTCTCACACAAGTATTCCCCAGACGTATCAGCAGAGAACAACCTTTGCCTGCAGTCAGCCAGCCTGAACAACCCAGCCTGGTTTCCCTTTCGCTGCCAGGTCCCCTGCAGCCCTCCTCTGCACCAAGGGCGGGTGTTCATCCCTGGAGGGAGGCGCAGGTGGCAGAGCCCACACGTGACTGTTTCCCAGAAAAGGCTTTGCCAATGTCCTGTGCGATGGCATTAATGGTCCGTTGTCTCTACTGGATGTAATTCACCTGCGACAGCACAGGATCACATCAGCACTTCACTAACTGAAACCTCTCCCTCATCTGTCATTTCCATCTAACATGGTGCCAGTTTGAAGCAGAAAAGCCTCGGTCTCTGTGTACCCGACCTTGTACTTTTTGCTCTGTGATTCTTCCGATTAATTTCTATTACTCAAATCTCAAAAGTCAGCCAGGGCTTCCTGTACAAATAGTTTCATCTTTCTGCACTAACCACACCTCTAGCATTAATAACACACTATTTTGTACCAAGTCATGAAACCAATTGTTACAGAAGAACCACACCAGTAACTCCACCACAGTCTGACAAACCTCATTTGAGCAGCCTAGAGTGCTCTTTTTCCTTCAGCTAACTCCTAGGTCACTCAACTACATACCTTTTAATCAAGACCTGCAGCTTGGCTCTGGCTTATTCAGTAATTTCCCAAATGTGTCACTGAAATCCAAACGGTCTACATCAGCATTTTGTCCTATCTTTTCATATTTCCAGGCTGTTTAACTACTTTCACGAACACTATCAGACATTTTGAAAGACAAAAACTCCCAAACTCTGCCTTGATCACTGTTTAATATTCTCTGTGCAAATGGTCACCAGATACGCAATTCCAGATATGCAGAGGCCTGGGAGAGAAATTATTTTACCATGATGTGGATCATACTTCCTAATTTTTGCTGTTTGTATACATTTCCACCTCCAAACATTCCTGTCCATCAGATTCCTGCCTTTATATCCCCATTCAGCATCACTTTTACTTACACATTAGGAGAAGTATTTGTTTACTTTTGAGGAGTATGTGTATGATTTAATCTGTTTTTTGTTTATCCTCACAGGAAACAGACAATGCTTCTGTTAAGTTTTTAAATACTGTTATTGAAACAGTTACAGAGACTAAGGAAAGGCCACTGTCCTCACAATACTTCCAACATCCACACAAAGACCAACATCCATTCAAAGATGGCATTTAAAGTGACTTACAGGAAAGCTGGCTTCCATTTAGAAAAATACAGCTAGTTTATTTGAAAAATGGGTAGCTGATAGAAAGTAAAAACATGCAAAGCAGTAAAGCTTTAAAAATGGAGAGCACTTGTTACATCAATCAGCATCCTGGTACACATTTATGAAACAAAACTCAGCAGCCAAGAAAGAACACACTTTACACACAGAACAGGAGTTGCCTTTCCAGAGCAAAGGAGACAAGGGCTGTATCACATCGCATTCAGTTGCAGGAATATGGGAGGAAAAAAAAGTAAAAGGGGAAAAGGGGGTGGAGAAAGTGGAGGAATCATTTTGGGATTTCTGCTGGCTTTCTTAGCAGACAACAAGGAAAGTGTAAGGAGTAAACCTGGAAAAAACCTAGAATGCACAGTTGGTATAAATAGAGCAACTCTTAAGTGCCCAACTCTGCTTCAGCCGTGCATTTAAAGTATGGGAGTCCAGCCACTTAAAAGCAGACTATCAGAGGGGAACATAGCCTGAAAGAATCTCTTTCTGCCAGTAAGCAAGGCTTCCTTTATACATCACTGCATCTATAAAGGTAGTGATGATTAATCACCAAAATGAAACAGTAAAACAATTCAAAAATAGACATTACTGAGGAATGCAGTAAAAAAAAGTCTCATTAACTAGAACAAAAATTAAGAAATAAAATACTTGCACACTTATTTCTACTCAAAATTTGTGTGAAGGTATCAACGTTAAATACATGTGATAATGCTTACCACTTGTCTTAAATGTGAAGAGACTTGTAGATAACGGTCCCCTGCAGAGAACAAAACAAGATTTTTTTGTGGTAGGTAGTGAAGAAAATTGAAACAAACTGCCTTCAATTTATTCTTCTCGTCTCGCTGCTTGCCACTGAAACCTACACACGTGGGCCTAAACAAGCGCTTCATAATTAAAGTAACACCTCCTGTCACCAGGCTGCAGCGCTTTCAGTACAAACACCTTTTCAACCAAAATCTAGTCCAGGCTAGAGTCAAAGGCTTTCAAACAAACAGCTGCCCAGCAAAACGCTAGACTTCATTAAAATGCTTCCTGTTTACATAAGCTAATTGTAATAACAAGAATCACTCTCCTCTGATTGCTTTAGTTCCTTGGACTTCTGAGATGAAACAACAAGTTACACTCTTTTCCCTGCAACTAAAAAGTTGCCGTTAAATTATAACTTTTCCACAGGCCATTACGAAGTGATGGTGATGCCAAGCATTTTGGAAGAAAAAAAAACTCCTTGCAGAATTCAGAAAATGAATCCTTATGGTCTATAGGTTAAAAATATCTGGTAAAACAATCACGCTGTAGCAAAAGAGCATTGCGAGAACCTTACAGAAGAGAACCCGTCCATGGAACCCGTAGCTCCGCTAGCTGAAATTAATCCCGCGATGAGACACTACTGAGATCCACGGTGCTAAAGATAAGGAGAACATCAGAAGTAAACTTACACTTTAGAGGTGACGTTGTTAGCCAGGGAGCCTTCATAGTATGGAATGCCCTTGCTGATTACAACATTAATTTGGCCACCCAGAGTATTTGACACAACGCCTGCGTGAACACCAGCCATACAAAGTGATGATGACTTGGAAGAGAGGGGGGAAAAGAAAAATTCAATACTACATTGTAAATAAATTGAATACCACACTGCAACTTGTAAACACTACATTGTCCAGTTATAGTTTTTGTTATTATTAGGTTAAGAAACTGTTCTTATTTAACTTATCTCTGTTATTAAGAAACCATTCATCTTTGGTTTATTATGGAATTTGTAAAAGCACAAAAAGAAGCTCCTACATTTCAGTGCATCCTCGCCCAGACGTATTTGGAATGTGACTCTTGAAATAAACTCAAACAAACAGCAAGGTGATCAGTCTGAAAAAGCCAGACAGTCAGACTTCCAGCCTACAATAAATCTAGTATGTTGGACAACAGAAGGTGAATACATAAACACATAGAAAGCCTTTTTAATAGAAAGCACTCTGAAAGCATGTTCGTTCGTAAATAGGGAACGATGCACTGCGCGTTCTGTAGCTTTCAGTCGATAGGTGACATTTTTTTTCTTTTCACTCGTGGTTAAACACGGTTTACACATCCAGCAATCCGCTCCATATACACTGCTTCACAGTAACACGTGGATGCCATTTGCTACCTCGGCTGCACAGCTCAATGGAGATCAGTTACACAAGAAGTTTTTGCAGCCCAATTCCGCTAACAAATGTCACAGTGACACTTCCACGTCCCTGGCTGGCTGTGCCGTAGAGAGCAGGACTGACTCACTACACCAAGTCCTTTGGGCACAACACAGAGAGAGCAGAGAAAGATGCCACTGTCTCCTGGACCAAAACTAGCCCAGGAGGTCTTCTCCAGCTGGGAAGCAAACTCTTCCAGGCCAAAGGGGCTTGACCAAGAAACATCCTACTGCTCAGGAGCAGGGAGACACCCGAGTTCCAAAAAAGGCTTAGCAGCAGTAGCTTTGCACCCACCCACCGTGTGCACCAAGCTCCTGGAGGGTTACTGGCTACGCGCAGTGCAACAGGCACGTACAGAGCTATTCACAGGCGTCCCTGCAGTGTGCAGCACTGGGTATGCACAGCAACTCTGCAGCCCCTCGCTCACATCCAGCGGGACTGGGAACAACCTGAATTTGAGAAGATCGAGTGGGTCCAAGCTGTCTATCAAGGACCACCTGGCTATCTCCCAACATACCTTCCAGAAACCATGTGGACTTGTCCAAGTGGATAAACAACAGATGATGACTGCAGATTTTTATTTACTGTTAAACAGTTGCTCCCCCAAAGCCCACTGTTAGCTGCTTCTACTAAACACACCTGCTGCACTCCCTGCCAACCAGTCCACTGGGTGCTATAGAGCCTCACCACAATTCTTTAAGAAGGAATCAGCAGGTCCTTTCCAGAGAGGGAAGACTTAGTGGATTATTTTCTTTCTCATATTATTTTAAAAACAGAACAACTTTCTCCATTGTGACTTCTTTAAAAATAACTGCATGGTGCAGCAGGCCAGGATGTCCCCTATGTCGCAAGCTCATTGGCAAAAACACTTGCTCATCAAGACTTTTCCAAATATAATTCTCTTCAGTATATTCACACTATAAAAACTATTCCCCACCCCCCAAATATCCCAAAATTTTTCTAAATAAATGTAGTTATATCTCACTCATGCACACAGCTCCCCTTTCCTTTCCTGCTTTTCCTTGAAAGTAAAGAGATGGGATTCTGCAGTACGTGCAGCTCTCTCCTCCCTGCTCACCAGAAGATGTCAGCAATGAGCACTCCAAGTCCTCAAGGACTGTGGACATTGGAGTCACACACAAAAGAATCCAAATTTAGGGTATTTTTTAAAGCAGCAAGCAGCTGCTTATCATTTGAAAGAGATGCATGAGAAAACTACCTGAAATTCTGTCTACAGTGCTGGACAGTTTGATTTCTTTCCATACAACTTGATTTCTGGGTAATTCCCTGCCTTTTTATTCAGAGCAATAAAGCATACAAAAAGAAAATCACAGGGCATTCATTTCCTCAAGTTTCCTTTTTCCTCCATTGAAAATACATTAGGCAGAGAATCAACTTCATCTTGTTACTAGCTACAAAAGTTACCTCACGGCCATTTAGCGAGGACACACTGTGGACCAAGACATGTAACACCATGACGCTGTGGTGACATTTTTACATATGGGTCATTATTTAAGCCAGTAGCCTAGGATTTACAGATATCTGACAAAGAAAATCAGAGGCCACTTTAGGTTCATACTGAATATTAAAATCTTTGCTTACTAACGTTTTAAAAATGTCTTTCCTCTGTGCTAGATCTAACAGCTTATTAAAAAGAGTATTTTAAGATAAACAAAGAGATTTAATGTAATTTTTTACTAGATTGCTAGCAAAGTTATAGTTGCTTAAAAATAAACAAACACCCTCCAGTCTTATGGCAGGTATGCTAATTCAGTTACAAAAGCTTACATCGAAAAAACAGTGTATAGGTTTTTGTAGTGTTATAAGTAAATAGTACATTATTGAAGATTTTTAATTTTCAGTTTATAGAACTATTAATGTTACAGTATTAACTCTTTTGTAAATAGCTTTATTGCTGCTGAGCACAAATAGTATTTCATCTGTCATGTGGTAATAAAAAATTAAGATAACCACTGAGACTCTCTGTTTAGAGATGTGTTACAGTGTCAAAAACAAGAGGATACTATTAAAAGAACTGGTTCCCTCTTTATAAAGCTGAATTTCCCAACCTGAGAAAGCCGACCAAAACAAAACAGGAAGTATAAAACAATATTTTGATTGATCCACCCTTCTCAGCAGGCCTTACACAAATGTTTGAGTCTCTACAACACCAGTTCTTGGAGGCGGCAACTTCTGAACCACTAGCAGCTGTGCAAAACAGCAGGTACCAAGCTATTCACTTTAGGAGGTACAAATTCCAGAACCCAGGCAGCAGAACTAATGCATACAACTATAATTGACTTTTAATTATAGAGTGCGTGTTTTACCAACATTCACGAGTCCACAGTATTTTTACTTACGTCTCTGTATCCATGGGGAATAGTGCCTGAAATATCAGCAAAAGGAATCACACATCCAGCTGGACAGTACTTACTGGAAGAGAACAAAATACCAAGTCAAGACATGCGTGCAACTACAACTGTTAATAACGTTATAAAACAGTCACTATGTTTTTGATTTACAATACAGTGTTTTCATCCATATCTCTTACTATTTAAGGATATATCCTAATTGAAGACATATCAAATCAGACAAAAAATACCCAGGAAGAGAATTACACAACAGGAGAACAGATATTTGAGAAAGTTTAAGAAAATGTTTCAGCTGAAACTACAGTTCCAGTCTCAATTTAATAAATTAATAAAGCCAGCACTTTATAATACAAATATTGCATGGCTTTTGTAAACTGAAAGTCATGTAAGTACCAATATTAATGAATTTTATTTTATAGAGACCTGCATATCTGTGTTCCATCCTTAAATAATACATCTGAAAGGTAATATTATTTTATAATAGTATTACAATGGCAATGCTTTGATCATTAAAAACTGGACATATTCAATTAATACCATTAGCTCAGGAAAAGCAAGAGGCAGGACATCTGCACCCCTGATGCAAGCCTGCGTTCATGTTCTAGTGCCATTTCATACTGCACATACAAAAACTATTAAATCTTCAAGATTTAACAGAACTGGAGTAAACTATTAACACTTTCACTGCAGTTCAACAACAGTTGAAGCAACTTTGCAGGTACCATTAAATTGCAGGATTCAGAGACTTCAACATGTTGAGTAAAGCCAGAACCTACAATTAAAGCCCTATTTTGGAACCTGGGAAAATGAAAGAGAAATGCAAAGGTTGCACTTTGAAATGTTTCATGATGCCAGGGCTGAAGTTCTCCAAAAAGTTAAGTTGATGTACTTCACAACAGCCTGCAGCTTTAGATGGAAACGGAGAAGGAAGAAACAGGGAAATTACTTATGTTTCCCCCATCAGAAGGTACAGAATTTATGTCTCCACAGAACCTCATTAATTCACACCAAATTATGAAATGGGTTTGCAATTTTTAACACATTTCATAGTTTAGTGCTCCTTAGATAACTGTAATATGAACTTCAGTATTTAAGATATATACCTAATATAATATGTCTTTATAAAAGCAGTATTCTTTCTATGGGAATAAGATATTAGCTCCTATGTGTTAGTGCAAATTAACGAGGTTCTACTGTATACTGCATGTAAATAACAAAAATGAGAGAGAGAGAAAGGAAGGAGGAGTGCAAATGTCAAAATTGTTCAGCTCTAACCCTAATTAGTTTTTTCCTTCTGTTCTCTGGACAGCAAATTTTCAAGCTGCATCAGGTATAAAGTAACAGAGTGAAGCAGAAACACTAAAATGACTTAAAGAGACTGGGGGAAACAGGTAAAATCAGTCTTACTTGAATTCTGGTTCGGAAAAGTGACTTGCATTGTCTAAACAGGTAATTAGGTCTGGAAAGAAAAAATGTTAGGTCAGGAGGATGACAAAGACAACAAGTTTGAGTATGCTTTTTAAAGAGCATAAAAATATATATTTGAGTCTCTGTGGCTTAATCAAAAATCTCAGAATGAAAAAAAACACATTCCTACTAAATTTTCCTGCAACTGATTTTGTATTACAGTAGAACCTTGATAATTTGTCTGAGTAACTGGGAAATCCACTGAGAATGCAGCACAGACAAGAAAAGAAACACTACAAACATTGATTTTTTTTGTGCAGCTTAATTTTAATTTATAGCTATACTTCAGAGAACCCAACATAATTCAGAGACACAACCATACGCTCTTTTCACAATTTAATAAGCCAGCTAAACAGGCCTGTGTTTCCAGCATTTAACGGTCCTACAGCACTGAAACAGGGCAGCACAGGGAGCAAACATCAATGAGCCATGTTACCAGCATACGTGACCAATATCTCCAGTTTTATGTTCATTCTGCTGGTGTATCAGCACATACAGTCCAAAATACACAGAGAAAAGCAGCAGAAAACCCACAAAACACAAATTAAAAATGAAAACTCTTTATCTGCTCTTTTTAGAATTACTTGTAGAAAGAGTTTTGTCAAGCCTTTTGCCTTGTGAAGCAGTTGCTGGCAATCCTTCATTTCCTTGTGGAACATGTATGTCACTCACCATTACAATGAGTGGAAGGAGATGCAAAACAAATACAGCAGCCTCCTTTCAAGGCTATGATAACCAAAAACATAGAAAAAAAAAGAAGAAATGGCAAAAAACCTAAAAAGTAGTCAGCAGATTATATAATTAAAGAGTTAAGGGAGTACAAGAAACTGTTACTGAAATAAAATTTTCCACAAGGTTGATCTGTATAAAATACATGCAGTTAGGCAAGACATTTTTTTTGTTATCTGCCACCTCAATTACTACCTGAAAAAATGTATTTTGTCCTTTATTCAAAGCAGCAGCTCTTTTATTTGTAACAGAGAACTGTGATTCTGGTCCTGCTACCCACAGTAAGCTTTGATATAGTATCTTTAAAACCGCAGTAACTTGAGTAGTAATGTAACAGTCCAACTTCCTATGCAGAAGTATCAGGAAGACTGTATTGAAAGTCTTCATTTTTAGAAGTTAATTGGTGAAAACATAGGAATTAATGAATAAATTAGTTCTCTGGTTTTACTATGCAGCCCTAATTTTACTAGCACAGAAAAATTTCCAAATTATTATAAATACCTGATTTGTCAGTGGTTGAATAAGCTGCAAGAAATCCACGTCCAGAAGTGTGTGTTCCACTCATGAACTGTACTGTGACTTCGTTACTTTTTGAAGTAATTAAACCATCCATTTGAAAGTCAAACCCACAATATTTTCCTACAGAGAGAAGAGGGAGAACAGAAATGGACCAGAACAGGGGTTCTGCCTCTGGATACTTCTCTTGCCATCCAAAATGACCAAAAGTAATACATTTTAATCTGAGATGCTGGAGTCTGCAGAGATTGACAAAATTTGCTGTACGAAGTCCTAGAATTACTACCAAATGACATTACCTGGATGAATGGCCGCCAAACAGACCCAGGGCAACGTGGAATTCTCCAGTCCTACTAACTAGAAACTTTAATAAAATACTGATCAGTTTATTAATCTGTTAGGAAAAAAAATAAATCTTCTGTTCTACAGGCTCCCTGGATCATTCAGTGTTGCCAACAATCTATAACCCTGTTTGAGGTTCTGCAGTGGATAACCACCAGCAGCAAATGACACTGCACATGTTTCAGTTTACCATTCCTTTATTTGCTTTCTTGATAAATAAAACAAGATACATTGTAAAACAGCAAAAAAAGAACCCAGACTCCCTTCTCAACCAAAGGCAAATTACAATACTAAAGTAAAGGGAGTGGAATAACACTGCCCTGCAGGAATAGTTCTTAACAAATATCATACAAATCAAATACAAATATAAGACAAACAAATATAACATGTATGTCAAATTACTATAAAAAGTAAACTGCACTCTCAAATACTAATAAAAAAATTGAAATACAAATAAATTCATATTCAGAGCCTTCTAAATATTGCTTATTCAGTTATTTTTTCAACAAAGCAAGGGTATTTTCTAATTAAAAAATATAAAATAGATTTAACAATACTTTAATGAAATTTATAATACTATACAAAAATAACCTTACCTCAATTCACTACTCAAACTGGTTATCAGCAAAAGCTACAAAGAAGTAAGTTCCCTTGTACCAAGGCTCCACATTGACCCTATGTTTTGCTCAAAGTCCTGTTTCAATGATTAATTGCATTCATTATGATGAACTGCATCATTTTTACAGCTACTTTTTTTTTAAAAAAAAAAAGTTTTGTTTTCAGCCACTGGATTTTGTTACACGATTGACCAGCATGAGACTCCTCTCAGGGTAGGTCAGACTGTCCTTAAGACACCATTTATCCTCTTCTTCGGGAAATACCCAGGGCAAGACATTTAAATCTAGCTCGGATAAACTGCCCAGTGCTGCCTGCACCATGGAGACACAGCCTTTGACAAACTGCAGACTGATTCACCTTGGCAAGACGTACTTTTGAGATTATAAATCATTTTTCTAACTCTTCCCTGGTCTCTCACCAGATTTTTAGCAATCTTTTTAAAAAGCAGGTGCTAGAAATGGACAAAACATGACTGCCACGATGCCTCCATCGATGGTATACGCAGAAGATTTAATAAAACTATTTTGTCTGTACTAGAGCACTGAAGGACCCCATGTGTTTTTGTACAGCAGCTTTACAGCAGGAGAGAGAATTCCAATGGTAGCTTACCTTCTCTGCTCCTACAGATCTGGGCTTACACTGTATGTATTAAGTACATCTGACTGACTGGACTGTGATGAAATCTAATACAGAGCACCTCTAGATCTTAAACTAGAGATAAAGTGAACACCGAGGATTTAAATCTTCTTTTGATTTACTGATTAATATTCACAAGGCTTAGAACGAGAACTAGCCTTTAAAAGCATAATTAGAAATCTCTGTTTATCAATAAACTAACCAACTAACAAATCATTTTTTAATCTAATCAGCCAATTTTTAAGTCACTTTAGGTTAAAGTAGGTATCACCGAATTTCAGATTTTATGTTAATACAAGTATTTGAATGTCAGACCATGTCAGTAGTCTTGAATGGAAAAAACTTAGGACAAATTCAGATTTCTTCCAAACAAATTCAGGTCACTCTAATCTCTCCAGTGTTTGCTGCTTCAAACAGGAACATTCAAGAATCTGCGCTTCAGCTGTATCAGCCACTGTTAATATCATTGTTTGTTCTGTGATTTATTTTATTAAGAGTAGAAAAACACACTTATTTGCTCAACATACTGTGCTACTACACCAGCTGGGAACAGCTGAAAGTCAAGAGAAACAAATGAAGTAGAAAATTTACTCGAACCCATTAAGTCACTTGTAAAAGTGAGTAATAGACCTACCAGAACTGGACGTTCCTTGCCATTTAAGGACTTCAGCGTTGCCTATTTTAGACCAAGTCTGGCTCAACAGCTCCAAGCACATACTTACTTTCACACACACTTACCTAGGTACCAGTTGGAAAAGAGGGTTAACAAAGCTAACATTCCACTAGCCTTTTTATAAAAAGACTCAATTTAGTGAGATCAGCATTTGAGTTGCACAAAAACAATCGTGGTGAAGTACATCTCTCTTTCTCTCCAGATTAAAGCTTTAGGAAAGAAAATAAAATTAATCTGCACAATAACAACTGATTTTAGTGCAGGAAGAATGACAATTCATTTTGAGTTTTATGCAAAGTAACCACAAGGGTCCTAAAACCCAACATCTACCTTGACGCAGGCGATGTTGCAATGCTATTTGAAACAAACCCTGCCTTACAGTCATGAACTTCAATTTATCCTCTTAAAGAGGACAGAAATTAAACTATGGACATTATCAGAAAAGGGGAATATTTGAACTACACAACTATTGAAGCCTGGCACCCTTTAATATCACTGAGTCGAACAGTTCAAATCAGATCTATTCCATATAAAAAGAAAGGCATTTCAGGTAAGATATACATAATACTTTTTTTTTTAAGTGAAAATCCTCATAGTTTTGTAATTTCCTCTCCACTGCTTACAAGAACTTTGCTAGCTACTGGGAAACGTCTGACAATAAAAACATTACAGTGTTTTCCTTTGAGAATCTGAAGAATCAAAGATTATTACAGAATCTGTCCTGCATTTCGCATCCAGTCGTTGTACGCATGAACAAAATGTAGGATGTTCTGCTATCATTATTATCCACCATTTTTTCAGTATATTTTTAGGATACAGGAATTGTGTCAAGAAGACAGACATCTACATACACTTTAATAACAGTAAACAAGATGCAATTTCTTAAGAATAATTACATTAAGAATACTCTGGCATTCCAAACAGAGATCTCATCTGCTGAGCAACAATGCTAAGCAAACTTGAAATGAGTGTGTCACCAGAGAAAGGGACAATCAGGCCACTGTTTTCTTTACCGCTTTTATTTTCATAGTTACAGCTGCACCTGTACAGCACGGAGGAGAATCTCTCCTAAGCTGTGCTTTCTAGCAGTATTATCAGTAGTAAATTTACTAAAACCGGTCCCTGATGGCTGTTTTTCTACTGTGGTAAGGTATACACAGCACTCCTGAGAGTTCTGCAGGGTTTCCTTGATACGAAGCTCAGCAAAAACACAACTCTGATTACAGAATTACTGAAATTCCTTTCTTTTCCTTATTTGGGATTCCTGTAAATAATAAACACTTCCTTCTTTTCATCACTTCTCCTAAGACTCAAAATCCATACTGTACAAAGCAGTGTATGATGTATTCAGGCAATATCCAACTGAATTTTAACAGTTTTCTAGGGCTATAAGAAAAGAACGCCATGAATACCATACACATAGTTGTTATTCTATGCTCACAGCACGTAAACAGGGAGAAATTTTAAAAGAAACAAAAGTACCAACAGTATCTTCCAAGTTCTGTATGAGACAATAGCTTTCAAATATCAACAATAAAAGCTCCTACCTATCTCTGTCCTGGTGGGGCCAATACCATTGTGAACTCTTAAGTAACTGGAATGACAGGAATCCGAGTCATCAATATCAAAATCGCCAAATCTGAGCTGAACTCGCTGCCCAGGCTTTACACGAATTTCCCATTCACAGACTGTGCTATTGGGAGAGGTCTGTGGGTAGTTTATTGAAGCAAGAGTTCCACTTTCAGGGCCCAGAACCGTGTGTCCACACCCATCACCTACAAAAGAACAAAAATAAATCAGATAAGCACGTTCATCTTCAAAGCTTCACTGGTGTTTCAGGCACCCTGGTTTTTAGCAGTGGTGTGAGTTCTGTTGGGTTTTTAACCATACTAATCATATTGCAAGCAAACTCCAAGGTAAGTCGCACGCAGATGAAACAGCAATTGTGAGAAAATACCATTCAACTAACGCTGCCTCATGTTTAACTTCTCATCACAGGCAACCAGAGAGCTGCTACGACTTTCTCAACGAGATAAAAATTCATCCACAATGACTTAAAAAATTACACAGACAGCACAGAAAGTGTGCCTGCTATTTCATCTTCCCTGTGTACAGAAGAAAACGGGCTCTGAAAAGGAAGGAGAAACCTGCCAATAAAACCAGAGCACATCAGTTTTACTGCTGTTGCTGTATTCACACCACCAGAAGAAAGAACAGAAGTGGAAAGACAACAGACAGCAAACACTCTACTGAAAATAACTGCCAGGTCTGACCATCATCAAACTGCTAGTGCATTGTTTTCTACTGTATCACAATTTTAATGCCATAATTAATTCTTCCACCTCTTTAGAGAACATGCTCAATTCTTCTAGATTTCAACAACAAATCAAATTATAGCTCCACCCTGAGGCTCTCTACCTAACATTTGAGTATTAATTTTAAACAGCAGTAACAATACTAAAGAAGCCTTTTTAACAACTGGAAAAAAATAGCACAAATTTTGTATTGTCAAAATCAAATTATAAAGAGCAAACTGAAAAATCTATTTACTCAACAGTTAGGTATTAATTTCCCCCAGTATGTAGTACAAGAACTCTAAGACTGTGTGTTGTTTTGGACGTAAGAATGCTCTTTAATTAACATACACTATCACTGGCTCTTTATAAATTGCTGCATCAAGATGAAACAAAGTATTCCTGAGCACAAGGACACATCCAGCAAAACTAACACCTGCAATAACAAGTCCCACAATAAGCCTCATAACATCTCTTTATTTATTTTTCTTAAAACTGAAGGTTAAAAATACTATTTATTGAATTTAGACCCATGAAATAAGTTAGCAGGCCAGGAACAGCATTATCATTTTCAGGATCTGACACTAGAAGCTCCAGAGATCTCCTGAAATAGACCTGCATACACTGTCCTAAAAGCAATCGGGATCGTTCAGGATCTTGAACAAAGTAACGTAAGTAAAAATAGCAAAGACAAAAATCAGACTAGATATGCTGATAAAAAATGCCTTCGACACCACTCCAAATACATTTATTATCCGTAGGTCCATCTAACCCTTCAACATTCATGCCTGTGTTATAAGTTAGTTTCCCAAATTGCC